AAAAAGACAGATGTAGATGTACAGAGAACTCTATAACCAACTCAGATGTTTAAAAGGTATGTACAGGAGATAGAATCGGGGGCAATGAACAGGAGATGAATACAAGAGCAACACCCTGTCACATAAGAAAGTGTCAAGAAAGAGAAATTTCAGAATGTATAGACACTGGCGAGCAAAGCTATGAACAATAAATATGAATTTTTAGCTAAGAGAAAGAGGGAAAGAGGATGGGAAAAGAGAAAGAGGAAGAACAAAAAAAGGATAAATCCATAGCTCAGAGGGGAAGGAACTATGGTAAATATTAACAAGGACAATGAAAAGCTGCTCAACTCTTATCTTGTTTCTGTTTCCTTGACCAACAAGAATGATCTTCAGACTAGAACAGACAAATTAAAAAGGGTTACTACGGAGCCAAGGCCCATGATAAGTAGTAGGGAATGAGCAGTTCAAACAATCTGCCCCAGATGAATTACATCCCTGGGTACAAAGAGAATTGATAAATAAGCCACTGTCAGTGATATAGGAAAGATCATGAAGAGGTACCACAGGACAGAGAAGGGAGAATATCTTACTGATTTTCAAAATAAAAAGTGAAAAAACAGAATCTGCAAACTAGAGAACACTGAGCTCAACTTTAATCCCTGGGAAAATTCTAGCATATATTAGTGAAGGGATAGCTAATAAATATCTAGAAAAAGAAAAGTAATCACAGAAAAACAGCATTACTTCACTTCATCAAGGAGAGGTCACGCCAGACTAAACCTTGTTTCCTTTTCTGAAAGGGTTACTAGTCTGTTACATCAAGAGAATGGCATCGATATAGTTTACCATAATTCAGCAAAACATTTAAGAAAGACTTTAAGGTTCTTTTTGTGAAAGATGGAGAGATGTGAGTCAGATAATATGATTAGGTAGACTTGGAACTGGTAGAACCCATAGCATCATTAATGATTTGTTATGAGTTTAGAAAAAACAATGTGATGGAGTATCTCAGGGATCTGTTCTTGGCCTCTGTGAGTTGAGATTTTCATCAGTGGCATGAATGGCATAAATGGTGTGTTCATCAAATTTGCATAAGTCACAATGCTGGAAAGCATAGCAGAGTCTGCATTCAAAAGATTTTAACAGATTAGAATATCGTGCCAAATGTAACAAGATTAAATTTAAAGTCTCACACTGGTATGAAAAACAAAATCATCTTCACAAGTATAAGATTTTAAGATTGGGGGTGAGGCTGGTTAGACAGTGGCTATTGTGAAAAAGATCTATAGTGGTATGCAAGAACCATAGAAATCAGCAGTGTGACATGGCAGCCAGAAAAGCTAATGGGCTACATTAAAACAAGAACTAGGGAGACATACTACTCACTCTGCCTTGGGCACATCACATCTGGAGTATTCAATCCAGTTCTAGAAACACTTTAAAAAAGTTAGAAAGTCTGTAGAGGAGGGTAACCAAGACCATAAGATCATAGATGCAGAGCTGAGAGGAACCACAGAAGCCTTCAAGAGGTGGTGATCTGTCCAGAGTCACACAGGCAATCATCATCAGAGGCAGGTGCTCTGATGCTAGAGCCAAGGCTTTTTTCACAATTCTGAGAAGCCATATGAATAGTGGCTGAAAGACCTGGTAATGTTTTGTCTGAAGAGGAAGGAATTAGTGAAGACAGAGTAGCTGTCTTTAAGCACATGAAGTGCTGTCACTTGAAAGAGGGATGAGACTTGTTCCATAGAGTCCCAGAGGGACAGAAGGGTCAAATTTCATTTTAATGTGAAGGAAAATTTCATAAACAATTAAAACTGCCCCAAAGTGAAGTGGGCTGCCCTGGAAAGCAGTGGGCTCTCCCTTTTTTGAGGGAGTAAAGGCTGGATGATTGCTCATCAAATATACTGTAAGAAAACCATTTTTCAGACCTAGGCTAAACTGGATGGCCTCTGAGATAACCTTTCAAATCTGAAAATCTATGATTCTGAAGGCATACTTCAATTTTAAAGAATGATTTAAAATTTTGTCAATATTAGGGAATCAAAGTCAACTGACTGCAAGTGCCCTTTCCATTGTATTATACTTTCTCAACATATATTCAAAGGATATTTATTTTATAGGGAAAACCACATGTATTCATTTGAAAATACTACTTTAAATTACACCATTCTCTATTCCCATTTCTACCACTATATACAATCTCCAGTTCCTATTTCTCCTTCTATTCCTAATTAATTTCTTTCCTATCAAGAACAGAACTTCAAATTTCTCACAGAATTATATGAATTCCAAGTTTAAAAAAAATTATTTTTTCCAAGCCAGAAGTTCCTTTACATAGCAACAGGGCCTTCAAAATTAGGGGGGGAAACATAATCTTAAATTTATAAAAATATACATTTGCTATCTCAATACTTAATTTACAATGCCACACCAAAAAGACACATAAATTAATCTATGTTGGGCACACATAGAGAGTAACTGTAATAAAAATAGCTAGCATTTATATAGCACTTTAAAGTTTACAAAATGCTTTACATTTCTCATTTGATCCTTATAACAATCCTGGGAAGTAGGTTCTCTTAACCTCTATTTCCTCATCTGTAAAATAGGTAAACAGGTCAAGTGACTTGCCCATGGTCATACTAAGTATCTGAGGCAGTATTTGAACTCAAGTCTTCCTGACTCCAAGTTCAGCATTCTATCCAATGACCACTTCCTTAACCAACAGAAACACTCTTAAAGCTACATTTAAACTTATTTTTCTGCAAATTAAAATTATAAATCATTCTGAAGAGCTGATGATTTAGTGGAAGGTTACAGTGAAATCTCTTCTGCCAGGGATCCTTCATTCTACAAAGTAATTATATTTCCCCATAACGAAAGTTCAGATTTATTGATATCAGGTTTTCTTAAAGTGAAGGAAAGGGATTTTTTTTTAATCTTTGCAGCTCCAGCACCTAGCACAGTGCCTTGCACATAGTAGGTACTTAAGTGCTTACTGGATTGGACCTATATTTTTTAAAAGGTCCTGAACCTTCAGAAACAAGCTTTAATAGAATTTTTTTTAATTACCCGGTATAGCTTTTCTAGATAGCTTTGCATGTGCTACGTAGAAAATGCACTAACACATTGAATACAGTGAAGTTATTAACTACAGATTTCTTCCAACAGCAATAAAAGTGATTAAAAGGATACAAAATAAATATGATACCTTTTTTTCCTTTTTGCCCAAATGTTTTCTAAGGAGTTCTAATTTACTTTTTAAGAGCATATATGCACATCAAGAAATCCACTTATTCTCGAAAATACTCTGAGACAGATGACAGACCACAGATGTGGAACGAAGCCTATGTTGAGAGACATAGCCAATGTGTTGGATTGTTTTGCTTAACTCTACAGTCTGGCAAGTTAGAGCTCCATTGAGACAAGAGTGAAATCCATGTTAAGAAAAAAAGGCACTCAAACAATGAAAAGTGGAAACATCAGAAATAGAAACATTCTCATGTTTAAGACTTAGTACTTTCAAACACTAAAAGCTGACTTACCAAAAGATCCAGGAGAAAAATCTAAAGCATTTTAGAAATGATCAAGGCTTTTTGGTCCCCGATATCATGCTATTTCTTTTCTTTGCTCAGTGTCCTTCATCTTTCCCCATTCTATATAGGGGATTCAAATAAAATACTAGATTGTCACCTAGTAGTAGGTGACTACTGGTGACCATAATTTCACTCAAGTGTTCCATAAATATGATAAACTGTGAAACCAAAGTTATGGAGTCAAGCCTTCCACAATTAATCAAGTGTGGAATCTCTGAAATGGAATTAAACTACATAATAGAAAAAGAGAATATATGACTATTTTTCAAAATAATTCTGATTACCTTGAATATTTCACATGTCTCTACATTGCTTTTCCTTTGTTAGACAACCTAACAATTTCTGGGGGGAAATAATTCAAAAGCTATTTCTTAAACCGAGCTAATAATCATCTGGTTTGAATTCTGGTAAATTAAACTAAGTTAGAAAGGCGGCAATACAGATCTGGGTGTATTTTTATTTTTAATCCTTCTTTAAAATTGAATAATTCTCCAGACAATAGAGCACTTTCACCTATGATGTGGGAAAGAATAGTTACAGCGAGAAAGAAAAGACCTGTGGATTTATTCCACAAAATCTCGAGATGTTTATCATCATGCTCTAAAATCCCAGTTTGGAACAGCAGCTTCATCACCTTTTGTGACCTTGCCAATTTTTACAGCAGAAAATCATGGAAGGAAGCGTAATAGATTCAAGCCTCACTCAAGATAGATTAATAAGGTTTAAATCTATCTCCCTAGCAAAAATGCATTTTCTTCAACCAAGGTATTATAATTAGTCAAGTTTTTAGTGTGACATAGGATATCAGGCAATGTGGTACAGTGGATAGATCAGACTTTACATCAGATAGACCTGGATTCATCTCCCACCTTGGAGACACAAACTTTTTTTTAAGCAACTACTATGTTGCACTATGCAAAGCACTTCTATTACTCACCAGCTATGGGACCATTAATAAGTCACTTCGCTTCTCTAAATCTATCAAACAGAGATAATACCAGTGGGTATCTACTTCACTGAATGTGAGGTTCAAATTAGATAGTTTATATAAAGGATATAGCAAACCTTGAAGTACAATAATAAATGTCAGTTATTACACAGATAGGAAATTCTGAATATTAAACAAAAAAAATGAAAGTGATCCTAAGTACGACTTCAAGGAAGTGATCTCACCTTACATTCATAAGGAAATTCTGAATATTAAACAAAAAAAATGAAAGTGATCCTAAGTACGACTTCAAGGAAGTGATCTCACCTTACATTCATAATTTTGAGTTGACCTTGTGACTTCAAAAACATAAGAATCTCAACTTCTAGGATCACACATTTAGGGCCAGAAGAATCTTAGAAATTATCAAGTCCCACCCCTTCATTTTCTAGACGAAGAAAGGAAGCCCAGAGCATCAAAGGTATTATTACCTCTTCTAAGGCAGGGAGACCGCAAGGCTCTTCTAGGCTTCGAGGATGCTTTAGGGCACCATTTTCACCCATCCTGTTCTTGAAAATAAGCACCTCCACATCAGACTGCTGGTGAAAAGAGTGCCGAGGGCCCGAGGAAAGTCGTTTGCCATCCAGAGTTTGAGTCATGCTACCTGAAACACTGACCACTGGCCCCCCATTAGAATCTGTTTGAGAGGCCTGTGGAGTAAATACAGCACCTGGGAGATTCATATACCGGGGACTTTCCAAAGAAATAGGCTGTTGACTTAACAGAAGCTCAGGTGTGGTTTTGTGTTCATTTCCCACAGGTGGCCGTGCAAGAGTCTCATTGGTGGCCAAGTTCTCTAACTGCTTTCTTTCCACTGGCCCAGGATGAAGAACCGTGGGCTGTGAGAGTATAGTTTCCAGTCTCTGTGATTTCTCGGTAGCTGCCTGAACAGAGGATGGGTTCAGCTGTGTAACACTGGTCTGTATTATGGAAGGTTGCCCAAGCTGCTGAAATATCTGTTGAATTGGATGCTGAAGGATACTTGCTCCTCCAGGGGTCTGTGTTACCATAACAGGCACATTCACTTTATAAAGATGTCCTGACAAACAAATGAAAAGATATAATTAAACCCTAATGCTCTTTTTTAAAATTCAATTTTATTTTCATATCTGTATTTTCTATCTTTTCCTCTCCACTGAAAAAACAAAACCCATCAAAAATAGGTATTAATCAAGCAAAACAAATTTCTACATTGGCATAGTAGATAGAGTTGGCCTTAGAGTAAATACAACCTGGGTTCAAGTCCAACTTCTGTGACCCTGGTGGAAAAGTCACTTAACCTCCCTATGCCCCAGGCAACTCTCAAACTATAACATTGCAGAACAATTGCTGGTGTGCATTGGTAGAATAAGTTTCCTAGAAGGGGGAGTGGGGGAAGCTCCCATCAAAGGAATCTTCATCTCTAGACCAGAAAAAAAATGTTCTTAGCTTATGAAGCATATTTTATACTGTGATATTTGAAAGCTTACAATGCTATATCCTGCCCAATCAGTACTCGAGGCAGGTAGACACAACATTACAATGTACCTGTACAAACCTGGGTTTCAATTAACATAACTGTATAAAATAACTGGTTTTTTTCACATTTTCCATTATTCAAGATACCATGCAGATCTTAGTTCTAAGGTAATTTAAAAGGACAGGCTATACAGTCAATAAGAATTTTAAAAATTTTGGAGCATATCAAATTCTGTCTCCCCAAAAGATCATCAATACAATCACAGACTTTTAGAGGTAGAAAAGGGCAGTAGGTGATGTAGTCCAACCCCAAACTTTAGAGATGATGAAAATAAGGCCAAGAAAGGTTAAATAATTTGCCCAAGGTCACACAACAAGTTAAGTGGAATAGCCAGGACTCAAATGCAGGTCCCCGATTCCATTTCAGTGTTTCTTCTACCATACTATTTAACATTTATTAAGCATCTATGTTCATGGCACTAGGGTAAAGATTGGAGACTAAAAGACAAAAGTGACAAATAGTCCCTGCCCTCTGGGAGCTTGCATTCCACTACATTCTAGCTTATACCAGGCTGTATTCCTACTGGAATCAACAAGAATAGTAGAATTCAAAACATATGCTTCAGTAGAGCTAGTCTCATGCAATGGAAGGAATCCTGGATTTGGAGTCAAGAGACCAAGGTTCTAATCCTGGCCCTGCCACTTAAGACTTGTTTGACAATTAAGCAAAATCAGTTCACCTCTCTTGACCTGTTTCCATATCTGTTAAGTGAGAAAATTGGACTAGATAACCTCAAAGACATCTTGCAGCTTTGATAATCATAATAATCTCTTATTGAGGAAAGGAACTAATGCATACTTTTTAAGCTAATTTCTTTTTCATGTACATAGTTAGCTACAGGAAAATAATTTCACTTTGGCAATGAAGAGTTACAGCATCCATCAGCAAAAGAAACATCTATCCTTAAAATCAGGGATCTTTTGAAACACAGATGTCCATCCAAATCTGTGGAACACTGTATTATACTACAAAAAGGTATCTAGCTTTTGTTTCAAGGTGAATTTAAGATGCAATAGATGGGTAGAGTTCCTATATACCAAAATAAATAAAATCCTATAGAAGCACAACCAATCTTTAAGTCGATGGTTTAAGCCCATAATCAAAAGTGGGTTATATGGATAAGACAATGTGGCTCCCAGTTAGCACCTCACTTTCTGGAAGTCCCAAGACTGAAAGCAAAGACTTTGCTGTGCTATATAAGAATTTCACTAAAATTCTAGCAATCTTGATGTCTGAGCTGAAACACCTTGATGACTGGTCCCAGCACCAGGTAAGATGCCTTTTTTTTTTTAAATAAGCCAAACCTAGGGAAGCATATTGGTAGAACTGAAGAGGAACGTGAGGGGTCAGACTTTTCATACTGTAACCCTAACCATATTTTCTGTCTTGCTGAAAGCCTTCTCTAGAAAATCAAATTGTGTAAATGGGTGAGGATACAGCCACTTCATATGGGGAATAAAGCTAGGACACCAAGTTTTTTTTTTTAATAGTGTATAACTTTTGTTACATATTTTATAGGTGCATGTGACCTAATTATCTAACAGCTAGATGGATACAGTGCTTGACTTACGAGTCAGACACACAATAGCTGTGGGACTCTGAACCAATCACTTAATCTCTATCTGCTTCAGTTTTCTCATCTGTAAAATGGAGATTATAATGGTACCTACATCACAGGGTTGTTGTAAGGAACAAATAACATAGCTTATGTAAAGCACTTTACAAACCTTAAAGCACTAACACTAGTTGCTATTATCATACATAATTGATTAGCTAAACCCACTGTTTGGAACAAAAAAATCCTTAAAGTTTGCTCTCACCAGATGCTGTTTGCAGAGTCACTCCTGCTGGTACATGAATGGGATAACCAATACCAGAAGGAAGGCTATAATTTGCACTGGAATTTGAGGTGACCTAGATGTGAAAATTTCATCACATGAAGTTAAGTAAAAGTACAACATTTTTTTTCTTCCCCACCTTTGTCCCTCTCCCCCGATAAAAGTTCAGATACCATGGACATGGAACTTCATTAGGAATGAGTCCTCCGAATGAAGCTGCTTTCAAATAAGAGACCATAAAGCTAACCTAGGTACAGATCTCGCCACTTTGATCTACTCATGTTACTGGTATGCTGGCAAAGTCAAAAATACCAAGGCTTATTTTTAAAACTCTGCCTTTTTTTTTTTGCTAATTCTTACAGCAAATTCTAGGATCACCAAGGGTTATGCAAGTTCCACGGGTCGTCTTTGGGTTAATCTCTAGCACTAACGTTGATAATAAGGCATTGTCTATAATTTTGTTCTAGGATTAATAATTTTTTAAACAATTTAAACAAATAAAGAGATATTAATTTGTTTTTCATCAACAATAGCACCACTCTTCCCATCAACACTGGCAAGTTTCAGTTTTTGGTTTGTTTGGCCTTTTTATCTGCTTTTAATGGTGACAATCCATTTCTATGAAAATCTTGTTCATTTTGGTAACGAGGGGGATCCTGGGCCTTCAAGCTCTAGCAAAATACAAGCTCTAGCAGATTCCATCAAACCAGAAAGACTTCAAGGACAGGCACAAGAATGACTTGTACATCTCTTACCCAAAATCCTAGTTAGCTCCCTGTGGAGAGGTTCAGCAGAAAGTTTGCCATTATGACGTGAATTTTTTTGACCTCCACTCATAGGATTAACTACTGTGGCACTGATGGACATTCATTTGCATTGGTAAAGAAATACTCACATGTGAAAAATATTATATCTTTGTAGTACTGAAATAAGTGGGAATTAAGTGGCTACTCTATAGAGCTTTTGCCCTTCAAAAGGTAGCCAGCCCACAAATCAAGAGTATGAAAACACAAATTTGCGTCAAGCAAGGTAGACCTATAAAAATAAGCCTGAGAAGAACCAAGTTCTAGTATCTCCAACTTCATGATAAACCATTCGATTTTCTTCATGGATTGTAATTTTGTTATCATCTGTTCCAAATTCTTATTTTATAAAGGAAAAAATGAGGGTGTTATAAGCTCATTAGATAAAGCTATAAAAGTATAGCCAGAATATGCCATTTAATGCAAGAAAAAGGGAAATTGTTATATATAAGCATAGCTGTAAAAAAAAATGGGAAGTCTCAAACTGCAAAATTTTTATTTAGGCCTTATCAATTGCAATCTCAACAGAATCAGACATTTACGCTATTATAATTCCAGTTTTTCAACTAACATATAATAGCTCTGTGCCCTAGTAGTTTCAAGCTTGGCAGATGCTAAGTACCTTGGGGGGAGAACATTGGAAAAGTCAGCAAAAATGACAACGAAAGTTACCAAATATTCCCAGTGTTGTTTAGCACCTACATTACAGCATTCACATTCCTTTCTACCCAATCTCAGTATTATCATATCCCTAACTTGAAAAAAGAAAGAACAAAGTAAAAACTATTTTAAATACTGACAGGAACATAGAAACAGTTAAAGACATGGATAAATTCTCCACCAATATTCAAGAAGTGTTCAGGGAATATACACTTACATACCAGTTCTGTAGTAGTGAAATTTGGAATAGTTCTCCCAGCAGGGATAACCAAAGATGCTGCATAGAAACAAAACAAATATTACAAAATGGTAGCATTTACTGAAATATTTAACAAAATTACTAATTACAGTTTCCTATTATGGGATTACTACATCATCATTCATCTCCTCAAGCAATATAAACAAAAAACTGCTTGCTACCAAAAGGAATTTTGATCTTATGCTATATTTCCTTTTTCAAAACAACTTCAGATCAAAACTTTGCAATGAAACTTTTTTTTTGAACATCCAGAAAGAAAAAAATTCTTCCAATTTTTCAGATAGTGCTGTCCTTTAGAAATACATGCTATGTGTATGCCTGTAGTTCCTGCTCCTGGGGAGGTTGAGACTGGTAGGACTGCTTGAGTTCAGGAGTTCTGAGCAGCAATTGGGGGTCCAATTAAACAAGCTTTGGAACCTATTCTTTATAATCTTAATAAAAGAATGGAAAGAGAGGGGAAGAAGAACACCCTGGGGGTAGGTAAGGCAAGTTATCTCAAATCAGGGTGCTAAAGAAGACATCTATACAAACAAGGAGGGAGAGAGAGAGCATATCCCATATCTCTGCTTTCATATCTTACATGAGTCTTGTCCATGTCCTCCCCAAATGTTTCTCACAGGATCTACCCAAATTCCTTAAGGCCTACTTCTAGGTTTTTTAATATTTCAATAACAGTATGGACCACACTTGGACTGTTCTATTGTCCCTTATTCTCATTATATGTAACCCATCTCTCTTTCTAGTGATTAATAATAACCACATCAGCAGCTAACATTTATATAGGTCCTATTATGTGCCAGGCTCTGTGCTAAGCACTTTACATATATTATCTCACTTGATTTTCACAACAACCCGGGGGGGGCGGTTGCTATTATTATCCCCATTTTACAGATGAAGAAACTGAGGTAGACAGTGGTTAAGTGACTTGCCCAGGGTCACACAGCTATTACATGTCTAAGGCCAAATTTGAACTCAAGGCTTCTTGAGGAAGAGGCCCAGTATTCCATCTACTGCACCACCTAGCTACCTGTATGTATATACATATATGTATACACATCAGAGCTATAGGTAGAAGAAATGTTTAACCAAACAAGGAATAGAGGTAATTAGAGAAAATAAAGATAAAACAGGTAACTAATTACATGAAACAGAAAAACTTCTGCACAAACCAAATTAATGCATGGAGAATTAAAAGGGAAGCAGTCTAATGAGAATAAATTTTCTTATCAAATTTCTCTGATAAGGGTTTGGTATCTATAAATAATTAACACATTCATAACCAAAAACCATTTCCTAATAGATAAGTTGTCAAAGAACATGAACAAACAGTTCTCAAAAGAATCGTAACCTATTATCATACAAAAAATAGCACCAAATCACAAATAAAAGAAATGCAAAACAACCCTGACGTTTCTCCTCACACCCAACAAACTGGCAAATATGATAAAATACAGGACTAGTCAATGTCGGAAGGGTTTGTGGGAAGAGAGGTACACTAATGCCTTATTAAGGGAGCTGTGCAATGGTACAACCATTTTGGAAAGCTAACTTGAATTATGCAAATAGAGTGACTAAAATGTCCTTACCCTTTGACCCACAGATTCGATTACTTAGACTTACTCCCCAAGGAGGCCATTAATAAGAAAATCCCCATGTACACCAAAATATTTATGGTAGCACTTTTTGTGATAGCAAGGAAATGGAAACAAAGTCAATGTTCAACAACTAGTAAATAACTAAATAAACTACTATTTATAAATTTAATGTAATATTATTGTGCTATAAAAAATGACAAATGTGATGAATACAGAGTATGGAAAAGTCTACATAAAGAGATGCATATTGAAGTAAGTGGCGCCAAGGAAAAAAAATGTGTGTGTGTGTGTGTGTGTGTGTGTGTGTGTGTGTGTGTGTGTGTGTGTGTGTGTACAGAATGATTACAACAATGTAAACAGGGAAAAAATGCAAAAAAACAAAAGTAAATGTAAAATTATAAAGAACAAGCATAAAATGAAAGAAAAGATAAGGAGATGCTCTTTTCCCATCCCTCAGAAAAGATGGGAAGTCAACAAGTGTTGTACATTGCACATTAAGACTTTGATAAATTCATCAGTTACACTGATTTTTTTCTCCTTTTTTGTCTTTAAAATATTATTTTTAGTATGGGACAGGTTTCTGGTAGGGAGAAGAAAGCTAGAGGAAACTATGATGATTTTTTTAAAGGCATCAAAAAAACCTTTTAAAAAAAAAACCTGGATTTTAATTTTACCTCCAAAACTTAGTACCAATATGACCATGAGGAGCAAGTCACTTAATCTCAGTTTCTCCTCTACAGAATGGAGGTAATATCTGTAGTACCTACCTCACAAGGTTCAGTGAAAATATACCTAAAGCACTTTGCACATGTTATGCTCTTGAAAGTGCTCTATACACGTGGATTTGTCTTTCATCTCAAACAACTATTCAAAGAAAACACCAGAAAGACCTGTTTTCTGAATAAATTATCTACAAAAGACATTACTTCATTAACACATAAAATCTCTCAAGAGATTGACAGATTCTGTCGCCATTATTAAAAAAAAAAACACCCACAGAAATGAAACAGCAAAGACTGGTGGTTAATGAAGCACAAAATTATTTTTACCCTCAGTTCCATCTCCAGTTTCGCCATTAACACTCCATTAGAAACATTCAAGTGTCAGAACTGGAGTGAAGGATCACAATGACATCAGTATTAACTACTTGAAGTGACCCCTACTTGAGCAGTATAGCTAAAGTTGTTGCTTGGCAGCAAAGCAAAATCTGATTATACCAGTTCCAATAACTGATATAATCAAGTTTCCTCAAGGAAAAAAATGTTTCATCTTAAATATCATCCAAGGAATCCTGAAGGACATATATTTAAAGGAGCCAAGATAACTATGTTAATAAAAGTTTACATCCCACAAAATAAGACCATTTAACTAATTAATAGTTTGATTTTACAATGCAATTTCTCAAAGCCTATAGAGCTTGCTATTTAACTTTGACACCAAATTTATCCCGGAAGTTAGTTAAATGAGTTCTGTGGAACATATTACAGATAAATGTTAGAACACAATAGGCCTGACCTCCACTTACACTATAATTATGTGTGCTTCTACAGAAATTCTTTTAAAATTTTACTTAAAATTTGGATCAATTTCATATTGTAGAAGTATAGCTTCTTTATTTTGTAAAATAACATAAGAAGGGTCATAGCACGTTTTCTTTCAGAACTGGAATAAAGCATACACAGTGTGTTAGAAAGCATATTATACTTGAAGTCTGAAAATCCGAGTCCCTCGGAGGAGCCACATAGCCCTCTCTGGGCCTCCACTCTCTTACCTGTAATATACGAGGGTTGCATCAGATGAGCTAACATGCTCTGACCCTGTGGGTCACTGGGTTTTGAACATCTCATGCTGACAAGAAGCCACTTATCAAAAGAAGCTATTCCCAAAAGGTCAAAAACTAGAGCAATCACATATGGAGGTCAAGAAGAAATGGGATGTCCAATAATCTGGGAGGCCAGCTGTTCTTGGTAACATTTTTTACCATTTGTGCTATCTTCACATTTCTTAATTTTCCCTTTTCTCATATAAAGGCACATTTGGGCATCTTGGCAGAAGGGAAGAGGGACAAAGAATTGAACAGGTGTTTAGAGCTACAGGTATCTTAGGGTGGCAGTAAAGACCTGGGATTCAAGACTATTGAATCAAAGTGACAGAACCCACTAAGTGGTCCTGGTGGTCTTATCAGGGTCATCTATCTTGTCAAGACATTCAGCCAAAATTTTAAACTTTTGAAAGAGGGAGAAAAGGTAGCTTCATGATAGCTCCACCAATCTAATCATTAATCTGTGTTTGAAGAATGGTGAACTATTTTTTAAGCGAGGCATTAGAAGATAACCCATGCCTCTCATACAAAAGCAATTTTTTTTTCTTCTGTAAATTCAATTTGAGCTTGACACCCAAGGTAGTGAGGAGCCACTGGGAAAACATGATTTCATCTGGGGGAATTCTATACAAACCCTAATTAATCAAGGCTTTGAAAAGAAGACCAAGAAAAAAAAATCAGACCCCTCAGAAAGATGGGGTACTGTAATTATGAGGCATCTCAAATTTATAAGACTATTTATTTAGGAGTCTCACTTGTAAGAGGGCTGAAGATAAAAAGGTATAAAAACAAGACTAAATTTGCACTCTACAAAAACAGTCTAAATTGTTTCTCTGCCCTGAACTACTTCATTAAAAATGGAGAAGAGGAAGAAAATCTCCTTGTCTTAAATGTAATTATTTCTATTATTCTAACATCTGGAGTATAGAATCCAAATAGAGAACTGAATGAGGACTAGTAATATTTGTGCTAGTTGCAGGACTTTTTTTCCCCCCAGATCTTAATCACTGGTAATATTACCATCTTGTGGCAAAATTGGAGTATTACAATCTCTACTCAGAAGAACAGAGAATTGTAGAATTGTTCCAGAATGTGACTTTGAGATAAAATAGGGTTAAAGTGATGATAAAAGAGTACTTTTCCTTTCCTTCAGGGTCAAAAATCTTCAAAAGGTAAATAAAAACTAAAATCTGTTTCACAAGCTAATGTTTTCAATTAAAAAGGGAAATAGAGTGGGATGATAAACAGAGAAAGTTCAAATGGAAATACTGTCAGTTTACAATAGAACAAAAATGCCTCCATTTGACAAAACTACTGACTTGGATAGTAAAAGGCACAACTAGTTAATAAGAATGGTACTGGCTTCTAAGCTCCAAGTTTATACAGACTAAGTCTGGCTCACTTTGTTCCCATCCAAACCTGCCCCAGGGAAGCTCAGAATATAATTCATTTCTCAATGACTATAAATTTAGGAGAAAGTGCTCTCAGTCAGCTATACAAAGCACCCTGCTAATAACATTTCAGATAATAGGCCAGCATTTATTTCATCCCACAGAAAGAACATAAAACAAAGGCTCTACAGTAACCCTATCTAACACAGA